CTTCTGCACCAAGGATGTGCACCGCCGGAGTTTCCGCCGTCGCCATGTGTTCGACAGGTCGCGAAGCAATTGCTCCGTCTGCGGCAAGGGAAGGGGATCCAAGGCAAGCGGCACTGGTGCCGACCAAAAGATCTGCCGGAAAAGTCTGAAGCATTTGGCCATGGTGTGATTCCTTTCTTTTACGGTTGATTTCTCTTTGACTTCCCGGTTCTCACGGCTCATCGGTCGAAGCGTTCGGCGCAATATTCTGGATGGAACTGAACAGGTTATGCGGGTCGTACCGACGCTTGATCGACGTGAGACGATCGAGGTTGCCGCCATATGCGCTGGAAACGTCTCCGGAGCGTTCGGCAATGAAATTCACGTTGGAGCCGGGAACTGCATGGTCGGCGATCCGTCTCGAGGCGGATTTCAGCCATCCGGTCATGGCGGTGTCTGCCGACGGGTCGCGCCAGCGAACACCTGGTGTTGAAACGAAGGGAACATCGCGATGAGGAAACGCGGTCGTGTCGGTATCGACGTCCGCGACAGCACCTCCCAGAAGGCAGATCAGCAGTTCGGATTCGGCTGTCGGCAGTTCTGGTGCCATATCGACCAGTGTGTCGATCAACGAGGGTGTCAGCGCACGATGATTGTGTGTGCGCCAGTAGTTTCGCGCACCAAAATCATAGGTCTGGTCGAGAAAACTTTGCGCCTCCGTGTAAGCGCGTGGCGCAAGGGCGCTGCCGACAGGCTCGACTCCGCCGTAAAGATGCCGCACGACGCTGTATCCCGCGTCCGGTGGTCCTGCGAAGAACTGCATCAGTGTCAGCACTTTCGCCCCATGAAGATTGTCCGGTAGGGCAGGGGTTGCGGGTGCCGTCATCAGGTTGGCCCAGACACAGGATTCGCGGGGCAGCATCGGGGCGTGTTCGGCGTAGGCTGCCAGAACCGTCCTTGCATCTTTCAGGGCAAAGAAAGTGGGTCCGAAAAGGACAGTGGGGTCGAGTGCGTGAAGCTGGAACGTGAATTCGGTGACGACCCCAAAATTGCCCCCACCACCGCGAATGGCCCAGAAGAGGTCGGTGTTCTCGTCGTCTGAACACATCACGATTGATCCGTCGGCAAGAACGATTTCGGCGGACAGAAGATTGTCGACGGCCAGCCTGTGCAGCCTGGCCAACCAGCCAAAGCCACCGCCAAGGGTAAGTCCGGCAACGCCGGTCGACGAGACAACGCCTCCGGGTGTCGCCATGCCCTGTGTTTGCGCAGCTGCATCAAACTGCCTCCATGTGGCACCGCCACCCACATGCGCAGTCCGGTTAACTGAATTGATCCGGACACTGTTCAGCGCCGACATGTCGATCATCAGCGCGCCATTTGCTACCGCCGAACCCGCGATATTGTGTCCACCGCCTTTCACACATAAGGCCAATCCCCGCTCCGCTGCCGTTTTGACAGCACTGGAGACATCTTCCGGGTGGCGCGCCGGCACAATTGCTATCGGTTTGCGGTCAATTGCGGCGTTCCAGACCTGTCGTCTTTCATCAAATTCCGGAGTGCCTGGAAAAACGGCATCGGAGCCGAGACGCGCTGCCAGCAAGTTCAGTCGAGTTTCTTCCATGATGCCATCTGCCATTCGTTGCCATTCACTGTCGGCAGAAGTCTGTCGCGAGTTTCCGGCACAAAAAACTCATGAATGTGAAGTAACTACAGATTCCGGAGTTGTCCGAATTCGGGGTGCGCCGTACTCTTTCAGTTCTGTTGCAGGATGTGAGGAGTGTCGGATGCCGTACAAAGGTTATGGACAATACTGCCCGCTCGCCCTGGCTGCTGAAGTCCTCTGTGAACGCTGGACTTTGCTGGTGATTAGCCGGGTGATCGACGGGTGCACACGCTTCAATGAAATTCATCGCGGCGTTCCGAAGATCTCGGCCACTTTGCTCAGTCAGCGGTTGTCCAGTCTGGAGCATGCCGGCTTGATTACGCGCCGGGCCCTGGAAAACGGCCGGGGATTTTCATACGAATTGACGGATGCCGGGCGTGAACTCGATCCGATCATCATGAGCCTTGCCGTTTGGGGTCAGAAATGGTCGCGGGATATGGAAACCGAAGATCTTGATCCGGCATTCTTGGCGTGGAGCATGCACACAAGGCTGAATGTCGAGGCCATGCCCGCGCACCGTATTGTCATGGAATTTGCCTTTTCCGGGACGCACAAGGGCTTGAGCCGCTTCTGGCTTGTGGTTGAAGACGGTCACGTCGACATGTGCCTTAAGTATCCCGGTCTGGAGGTGGATGTCGCCATCTCTTCGGATATCAGGCGATTTGTCGAAGCCTGGCGCGGCATACGAGATCTGCGCAGCGAAATTGCCAGCGGTCAGGTGTCCGTGTCTGGCTCGACGGCCTATCGCAGGGCACTGCCGGACTGGTTGATGTTGAGCGCATTGGCACTATTTCCCAGACAAACCGGTAACGAGGCAGGTGCCGGAGAACCGCATATTGCGCGGACGGGTTAACAATGGTCGGATGGCGCGTACCAATGCGTCATTGGGCCATCGGTCTCCGTTGTCACTCATGTCGCGCCCATTGCAGCGGACCGGAGTGCAGCGGACCGGAGTGCTGCAGACCGGCGTGCGATAATCGTGCGATCCCGACAGCAACATGATGTGTCGATCAATTGTTGATGTCGTCCGCAAGGATGCGATTGTCCGGCACCGCAATTCGGCATCCTCTCCAGGCTAAAGAGAATGGATGAAACAACCTTTCGGAGTGCGGTTGACGATTGTCGCCACAATAATTATACACTGTATAAAAAGAGGAGGAAATCGTGCCGACCGGTCACACGATGATGGCAATGTCGCTTGATGGTTTTGTCGCGCGAAAGGATCACACCCTCGATTGGTTGATGAAGCTCGACACCGAGGGTGAAGACTACGGATTTGCCGCTTTTCAGAACAGCATCGATGTCATCGTGATGGGCTCCGGCTCCTTCAGGACGGTCCTGGGATTTGGCGAATGGCCGTACCGGAAACCGGTCATCGTAATGAGCAGGTCACTTGCCGATGATGAGATCCCCGAAGACGTTATGTCCAAGGTCGAGCTGAGCCGGCTCTCACCGGCCGAACTCATGTCGCGTCTCGGTGAGCGTGGTATTGGCCGGGTCTATGTGGACGGCGGCGCTATCATCCGATCGTTCATGCGCGAAGGCCTGATTGCAGACATGCGGGTTGCGATTGCTCCTGTTCTCATTGGTGAAGGTATCCGCATGTTCGGAGAACTGGATCGTGACATCGACCTGAGACTCGAAAGCGTGGACCGGTTCAAGTCGGGACTGATCCATATGTACTACGTGGTGATTTGAGTGATGTCGTCTGGCAGGCTCAAAGGGCGCCCGCAGAAAGGCAGTCGCTCCATTTCCAGGGAACATATACTTTCGACCGCACTTCCGTTGCTCAATGAGCAAGGTTTGGAAGCAGTGTCTTTTCGGCGTTTGGCCGATGCGTTGAACGTGACCGCGATGGCGATCAAATACCATGTCGGCAGCCACAGGAGTTTGATTGCCGCGCTGATACGAAACGCCTTCGAGGGTACCCTTACTCATATCGAGGGCAACACCCCGGAAGAACGTCTCAGACACATACTCTCAACTTACTGCACCCGGGCCTTGGAAAATGCGAACGTTGTGCGCTGCATCCTGAACGATCCATCCTTGATGAGCGGCGAGATCGTTACAGTCACGGAAGAGATCCGGAAAAACACCAGAATGCTCAACAATGGCGACGAGCAGGACGTGCTGCTCAATCTGCTGGTCGACTACACACATGGCTTTGTTTTTTCCGCAGTTGCAGCGCCGTCAAATCATGGTCTGACCCTGGACGATTATCTGCGGAGTGTCGATTGGGTGCTGAAAGCAGGTCAGTCCGCACAAGTTTCAAATTGAAGTTCCGAGCGGATCGTTCGTGTCTGTTTTCTGAATGTATTCCGGGACTGGCCGCTGTCCGGACCGGCTCGCATTGGCTTTTGCATCCGGTAGTGATGACGCCTTGCCACCTCTCTTTGGCTACTGGACCTTGATCGATCGTCGGCTTATGTTGCACCTGCGAAGTAAGCGGGACCTTGGCGGGAACTGAAGGTCTGGGAGGGCAAACAATGATAATCTGCCGGACAAAGGCGGATATGCGCGAAAACGTGCGGAACTGGAAACGGGTGGGACAAACGGTCGGACTCGTGCCGACAATGGGATACGTGCACGAAGGGCATCTTGCTCTGGTCCGTATGGCGATCCAGAAGGCAGACCGGGTCGTTGCGAGTATTTTCGTGAACCCCACTCAGTTCGGTCCCAATGAAGATCAGGCGACCTATCCACGCGACGAGAAACAAGATCTCGATCTTCTGGCAGCGGAGGGGGTGGACGCTGTGTTTCTGCCTAGCGAGGAGGAAATGTCCGGCGCGGGCCGTGGAACTCATGTCGACGTGCCGGGCCTGTCTGGAATCCTGCAAGGAGCCCTGCGTCCAGGGCACTTTCGTGGAGTCTCGACTGTCGTGACCAAGCTGTTCAATATCGTTGCACCGGACATCGCCGTCTTCGGCGAGAAGGACTACCAGCAACTCACACTTATCCGTCAGATGGTACGTGACCTCGACATGCCGCTGGAAATCGTCGGCCACCCGACCGTGCGCGAAAACGATGGTCTGGCAATGTCTTCCCGGAATGTTCGTCTCTCGGAAGATCAACGGTCTGAAGCCGTCATGCTCAATCGCGCGCTCGATCGGGCACAGGAGTTTGCAAAAACAGGGCCCGCACTTGCCGAACTGGAGGCCGTCGTCAAGTCTCGACTCGCGCAGGCCCCATCCGCGGAGGTCAAAAGCGTCGACATCCGTGATGCTGCGACCCTGGGTGAGCTGCAAGGCGCATTGGATCGTCCGGCTGTCGTGCTGCTGGCGGTACGTTTCGGACCTGTTCTCCTGATTGATCAGCGCGTCATCGCGCCGGTGACCTGAAGCTGAAGGGACTTTTCATGAGTGTTCAAAAACCTGTCCGCCGCCTGACCGCGCCGCAAATCGCGAAACGCAAGGGCGGGGATCCCATCGTCTCGTTGACGTCCTATCATGCGCATACGGCCGCCATCGTCGATAACTACGCCGATTTCATTCTCGTTGGCGACAGCCTTGGGATGGTCATGCACGGAATGGAATCGACGGTCGGTGTCACGCTCGATCTGATGATCATGCACGGCAAGGCGGTCGTCCGCGGCACCAAGAAAGCGCTTGTTGTTGTCGACATGCCCTTTGGCACTTATGAGGAAAGTCCTTCAGAAGCTTTCCGCAACGCAGCACGCGTCATGAAAGAGACCCAATGCGGCGCGGTAAAGCTGGAAGGTGGTGTCCGCATGGCCGAAACCATTCGCTTCCTCACTGAGCGCGGAATTCCCGTGATGGCTCATATCGGCCTGACGCCGCAATCGGTCCACGTCATGGGCGGTTTCAAGACGCAAGGAAGGCACGAGGATGACTGGGACCAGCACTTCGAGGACGCATCAGCTGTTACCGAAGCAGGTGCATTTTCGGTTGTCCTGGAAGGTATGGTTGAACCGCTTGCCGCGCAGATCACCAGGGAAATCCCGATCCCGACCATCGGCATAGGCGCATCCGCAGACTGTGATGGCCAGATCCTGGTGCTGGAGGATATGCTTGGCCTCAATCCGGCACCGCCCAAATTCGTCAAGGTCTACGGCAATCTTGGTGGCCAGATCGAGGCAGCGGTGAAAGCCTATTCGGACGAGGTCAAGGACCGCAAGTTCCCCGCCGAGGATCAGGTGTATCGTTGACGATGTGCAAGCCGTGAATAGACGCCCGATTTCCGGCTGCGGCAATCCGCTGGACAAACTATTGTCAGGTCATGCTGATGATCCGATCCGATTTCGACACGCTGTATGAAGCGCTCCTCAATCGCGACCCGTCCTATGACGGGCGTGTCTATGTCTGTGTGGCCTCTACCGGCATCTTCTGCCGGCTGACTTGCCCGGCACGCAAACCAAAGCGCGAAAACTGCACCTTCTACGAAACTGTTGCCGAATGTATCGACGCCGGCTTCCGCCCGTGCAAGCGGTGCAAGCCGACAACACCGCAAGCAAGCGCGGACCCGGTCGTAAAGCCCCTGATAGAAGCCCTGGAAGGACAGCCGGGTTATCGTTGGCGCGAGCCGGATATCGTCCGGATGGGATTGGACCCATCCACGGTACGGCGGGCCTTCAAGCGCCATTTCGGCATGACTTTTCTGGAAATGGCTCGACAGCGGCGATTGCAGGAAGGTTTTTCGACATTGGCCGAGGGCGGCAAGGTCATCGATGCGCAGATCACCGCTGGCTTTGAATCGCCAAGCGCCTTTCGCGAGGCGTTTGCCAAAATACTGGGGCAGGCGCCGGGAACATTTTCGCAGGACCCCATGTTGTTTGCCGATTGGGTGCCATCTCCGCTCGGTCCGCTGATTGCAGTGACGGACAGGACGCAACTGCATCTTCTGGAGTTTCTGGACCGCAGGGCCCTGCCGGCGGAATTCAGAAAGCTCCAGGGTTTCGCAAAAGGCAATATCGGCTTCGGGCGCACCGAAATAACCGACCAGATCCAGGACGAATTGCGACTGTTTTTCGACGGCAGTTCCGGCGTCTTTGAAACGAAGCTTGCGCTGCACGGCTCGACATTCACGCGGGATGTCTGGCGGGAACTCCTGAAGATTCCGGCCGGAGGCACAAGGAGTTATTCAGAGCTTGCAAGAGAGCTGGGAAGACCTGAAGCCGTGCGCGCGGTTGCCAGGGCAACCGGTGCGAACCAGATCGCGATTGTAGTGCCGTGCCACAGGGTGCTGGGAGTGGACGGATCGCTGACCGGGTATGGCGGTGGGCTCTGGCGCAAACAGCGTCTCATCGAACTTGAGCGGAGCTACTCCAGCAATCAAAATGCGATTTGATGGTTGGCATTGCCGGCCGGATGCCAACCGGCCGTGATCAGGATTTTCCCGAAACACCTGTTATCATGGAGACGATCTCGTTCTTGTCGGTCTTGGCAGTCTCGCGCACGCCGATCTGTTGTCCACGCCTCAAGACGCAAATCCGGTCGGCAAGACGGAAGACCTGGTCGAGGCTGTGGCTGATGATCAAAATCGCGAGGTTCTTTTCCTTCAGCGCGGCTACCTGTTCCTCCACCTTTGCCGTTTCCGCGACACCAAGGGCTGCGGTCGGCTCGTCCAGCAGCACCAGCTTGCTTGCCCAGTGCGTGGCGCGCGCAATTGCTATTCCCTGTCGCTGACCGCCGCTGAGATCCCGGATGACGGACCCTGCGGACGGAATACGCACGTCCAGCTCATCGACCAGTTGCTGGCATTCCCTGTGCATGCGTTTCCTGTCGAGCAGACCGAAGGGCGGCTTGATCAGTTCCCGGCCGAGGAACATGTTCATGTAGACTGGCTGCTGGTCCGCAAGGGCAAGATCCTGATAGACCACCTCGATCCCCAAGCTGCGTGCGGAACTGGCGTCTGAAAAGGAGACGGGATCGCCGTCCAGGCGGATCTCGCCGGATGTGGGGCGGTGCACCCCGGAAACAATCTTGACCAGCGTCGACTTGCCGGCACCGTTATCACCGACAAGCGCGACGATTTCGCCCGCATGTAGATCGAGCGAAAAATCCTCTATCGCGACAATGCCGCCGAAAGCCTTGTGAATGTTGGCGAGCGAAAGGACGGGGGCTTGTAGGTTCACTGACGAAACGCTCCCGGCCAGGAGACCTGATCCCCAAATCCGTTTTCTATTGTCGTAACGGCGGGGTTGCCCGATGCGACACCTGAGAGGCCGACCACAAGCGCTCGCGTGACGAAGGCCTGGCCGCGAAAACCGAATATGACCGTGTCACCTGGCTCCGGTGGTCTCGGGCCGGTGGCGTCGATCATCGCATAGTAGTCGATGGCGGAATAATCGGGGATCTCGACATCGCGTAGCGCAGACCGGTCCGATGTCGGTTCCGGACCGACGATCGCCCGCACCTGATAGTCCGGAAAAACAGGATCAATATAAAGACCGCCACCAAAGCAATAGGATTTGCCGCCATGATGATGGGAGACTTCGGAAAGGTAGAGAACAGCGGGATCCTCCGGCAGGTCCTCGACCGCATGCAGAGGCGTTGTGCCGTGGAGCCCGTTGCCCGGTTCGCACTGGGTCGCACCCGATGCCGCCAGTGCCGCGACCACGGCAGAGGAGGTCGTGCCGGGTGCATTGATCTCGATACCGGTCCTGCCGGCCTTCGCCAGGGCATCCGCTGCCCGGCCGAGGGTTGCCAGGTTCGGTGTCTGTTTTACCTTGCGGGCCTCAAGATCGAACAGCAGCGCTGGAAAGGTCGTGATGCCCGCGAAGCGAGCGCCCTCCATATTATCAAGCCGCTCTGCTATCGCGACAATGTCTTCAGCCGCAAACCCGCCCTCATGGCCACGGTAAAACGTATCGCCTTCGGTCTGAATTCGCGCCAGCAGATTTTGTTCGCGGCCCGCCGAGCGTGCTGCCGATGCAGCTTCCTCGGCTTTTGTGTCTGAAAAGACGGTCCAGTAGTCCGGTTGCAGTTTGGTACCGGCATAGGCCGCTTCATGTCGGGGGATCTGCACCAGGTGTCCCAGATGGCCTGTTTTGAGACCGGCCCGGTCGCAGGCAAGCGCGCAGGCCATGTCGACGGCAACAGCCCGGTTGATGCCGCCGCGCATGACCGCCTGGCAAAAGCCGGAATGCCGTCCGACCTGCTGGGTCATCGCGAAGGTCTTCAGGCCATGTCTTTGCGCCTCATGTTGGAAAAGGCGTGCGTTGCGTTCGACCGCATCAAGGTCGAGTACATAGGCATTTGCCGGAATGCGTCCTGCCTGATGAAGTTCCATCGCGGCTTCGATGAATGCCGGATTACGGCGGATTAAAACGTCAAGAAACATCTGTCTTCTCCGAGTTACCGGCTCGTGTCGCGCAGCGAAACGGCGACCGCGATCAGGATGATCAGCCCGCGGACGATCATCTGGTCGGAAACATCAAGACCCATGAGGATCAGTCCGTTGTTGAGCATTCCCATCAGAAGCGAGCCGAGCAAAGCGCCGATGATCGATCCCTTGCCGCCGTTCAGGGCCGTACCGCCGACAATGACAGCGGCAATTACGGTCATCAGGTCGCTCTCGCCGAGTGTGTATTTTGCGGCCTGGAGGCGACCGGCATAGAGTAGCCCCGCCAGCCCGGCCATGGTGCCGCACAGCGTCAATACACCCAGGCGGATCCGGGGCACCTTGATCCCGGAGACCTGCGCGGCCCGGGCATTGTCGCCCGTTGCGAGCACATGAGCACCGAACCGCGTGCTGCGATAGACGATGTGTCCGATCGCGACCGCAACGATGGTCCAGAGGACGAGCGAGGGTATGGAAAACAGTTTCCCGGATCCGAAGATGCCGGTGAATGTGTCGTTAAGTACAGGAATGGACCGCAGATCCGTCATTGAGCGTGCAATGCCGGCAAACAGGCCCATCGTGGCCAGTGTGACCAGAAACGAAGGCAGGCGAAGATAGGCAACCAGAATGCCGTTCATCGCTCCAATCAGCGCGCCTGCGCCTAGCCCGGCCAGGATGCCGACGGCCATCGGGAAGCTCTGCATGGCAACTGCGGCTGACAGCGCCGAGACAGCCACGACCGATCCGAAACTCAGATCGATCTCGCCTGCGGACAGGGCAAATACCAGACCGATGGCCATGATCGTGGCGGGTGCGGTCTGCAGCACGATGTTGGTCAGATTGCGCGAGGTCAGAAAGCCATCGTCATAGAGCGTAGCCGCAAAGAACAGGAAGATGGCCAGAAAGCCCACATAGATTACGGATCTCTGCAGATCCAGTCGCCGCAGCAGCGAAAGGGAGGAGCTCATCGCAGTCTCGTTTTGCCGGTTTTCCGAGGATCGAAGGTCGACATCTTTGGTTCTTGCCCGAGTGATTGAAAGCGAAGGATGATCGAATGAACCGGCGGGCAGCAGGCTGCCCGCCGCTTGGCCGGGTTAATTCGCGGAGGAAACGCTTGCCGGCGGATCGATGTTCAATGATTTCTTCCAGCCTTCGGCAACCGTGTCTGCGGTAACCGTTATGGCCGGTGCGACGACGAAGGGCGGTACATCCGTGCCGACAAGACGCAGGGCAGCGGCGGCGGCCATGGCGCGCCCGAGTTCGTAAGCCTCGTCTGCGACGATTGCAGCGACGTTACCACCGCGAACCATATCGACGGCAACCGGCTCGGACAGGTCGAGTGTCACGATCTTCGTGCTCTTGTTGCCGTTCGCCCGCAAGGCCGCCAGCACGCCTTCTGCCGGTCCTGCCCAGGTTACGTAGATGCCACCAAGATCCGGGTTCTTCAGAAGCATCGCATTGGCGATTTCCTCGGCACGGGCCGGGTCGCTGATACCCTGTTCGGCGACGATTGAAATGTCCGGATAGTCGTTTTCGATCGTTGTCTTGAAGGCGTTGTCCCGCTGATTGGTCACGTAGTAGTCGGCATCGTGGTAGATCCAGCCGACGGTTCCCTTGCCGTTCATTGATGACGCAAGGGCGTCGGCCGCCTGCTTGCCCATCTGGAAGAGGTCGTCGGTGACGATGGCTGCGTAATCCCGTGGATGTTCGTACCCGGAGGGCAGGTTGGACAGAAAGACAAGCGAAACACCACTGTCGCGCGCTTCCTTGAATGCCGCTGCGGATGTAACCGGATCAAGTGGCAGAGACAGGATGATGTTCGGTTCCTTTGCGAGCGAAGTTTCGATGTCACTGCGTTGCTTCGCA